AGGGCTCCTGGGCTCTCCCCAAGTTTCACCTGCATGAATCTGACCAAGAAAGACCCTGAAGAGTAAATGCGCCAGGACTTCTCTGTAGGGTGCGTGATGTTCAGGTCCTAGGCTAGGCATGGCACAAAGTGGCTTACACAGGGAGGACTGAACAGGGCTGCAAAAGCTTGAGGCAGAGCTGATAGGGAACCCATACGCAGCTGGTGAGAACTCAGAGCCTGAGCCCAGCCCAACTGACTGTCTCCTAAAACTAAGGCATAGCTACTGTCCACAGGATTTAAAGGAGTGTTGGAGCCACCCCCTCACCTAGCCGACCTGGACCCTCTTCGAGGCCCAGGCACTAACTGGGCTCAGGAGCCACGTGCCTGTCACCTGTGCCTGGTTGCCTCTGTTGGGTATTCTGAGCACCCAGCCCTGTAGTCTGAACCCCATAGCTGAAGAAGTCACAGATGGACTCCAAGAACACAGAAGCCGCAGCGGGGAAGAGGGGGCCACTGCCGCCACCTGTCCTGGGAGCTGCCCCTGCTCCATTCTGAGACACTATTATGATTTGGGGGATATTTTGACAAAGGAACACAATATAATACAGGACACATATTTTATATGATTATTTATAATCGCTACCCAAAGAACAATATACAAGAAGTGCAGGAAATCTGTCCACATGCTAAGACCAGGAAATCCAGCTGAGGGCCTGGATCCCACAGAAATGTCCTGCATGAGTCCAGCTGAGGACCTAGAGCTCATAACAATGCCTCCCACAAATCTAACTGGAGGCTCAGAGCCCATAACAATATCTCATGCAGGTCTGTTTCACAGATCTGTGCTGCAAAGGCCCAAAGGTTAGTGGTGGAATCTAGGAAGTCTGTGCCAGCGGGATGAAGGACCTGTGCTAGCAGGCTTGAGAGATCTGCACAGGAGCCAGGAAGCGACGCTCAGAAGAACCAGAGCTCTCCTGAAAAGTACCACAGCCATCCTCAGCAACAGTGAGGTCCCAAGTTCCTCCAGTGATCATGATGGCTGAGTTCCCATCAGGGAAGTCAACACAGCAAGCTTCTCCAGGAAACTGGCAGTGCACCATCTTCCCCTCCGGAAACTGGCAGTGTACCATCTTCCCCTCCGGAGCCAAGTAGTGATGCTCAGAGTGAGGACCAGAGCTCCCCCAAAGTCAACCAAAGTCATTCTCAGTGTCAACAAGGTCCCAAGCTCCTCCAAGGATGAAAACAGCTAAGTTCATCAGGAAAGCCAGCATGACGAGCTCCTCCAAAAACCAACAGCTCCTTACAGCTTCCACCAGTTCCAACAGCCTTTCTCTGCTCCCAACAGCCTCTTTAGTTCCCCAAAGCCTTTCTTCTTCTTCTTCTCCAGGTCTGCCTCTTATTCTGCTGACAACAGTACCCAGGCGGGCCTCCCACACCCAGCACCACCCTTAGTCAGTTCAGCTGGGGGTTATAAGTTGAGCACCAGTTATCAATCCACTATAGACACACTTGGAGCAGCCCTGGAAGGGCAGGGCGGGAAGCAAGCCAGCCTCTGGGTTTGCTTTGTGGCTCCATTATTCAGCTTTGAAGGCCAGAATCAGACCCGGTGCTTCCTCAGGTCTGGTACCCCAGCCTGACTGGAACTTTTCTCACTATCTCTACATCCGTCCCTTCATCAGTCTGTAGGATGTCCTTTGTGTTCTGTTGGTTTCTGAGAGAAAAAAACTAACAAAACACTTCCTAAATTTGAAATTTAAAATTTATTTCTGATTTTCACTGAAACATTATTAGATTTTTAATTTTATTACATTGAAAGCTACATACGACAAGGACTGAGTTGGCCAACACCAGTTAAAATTATGCAGCTCAAACTGCTTACCATTTCCATGTCCAGTTACTGTTTTTACATGTGTTAAACATGCATTTTGTAGTTGCTAGTCATGTGGCCTTTGTCCTTGACCTACTGAAATGGCTCAAAATGAGAGGGACCAGGCTGCAGGCGAAGTGACTGCTGCAGGCCTCGGAAGGAAGCACAGTGAGCTGGGAGCACTTGTTGACAAGAATTGAGGGAAAACAAAACAAATAGCCCCAGAGCTAAAGCCAATGGGGGGACATGTCACCACACCATGGGGACCAACGTGAAGAGCATCCAGTAGCCACACAGTTGCTGACAGGATTGGCCAGCTGCCTGCTACACACAGCACACATCAATGTGTGGAAACAAGAACAAGATGCCTTCCCCAGGAGTCCAGGAATTGCACACAACTACTGCAGCCTTCTTCGAGCCTGAACCCCAGGATGCTTGTCTGAGAGACAGAATGGGAAGAAGATAGCCAAGGATATGAAGAGGCACAGCAGGGTCAGGCCAGGGTCAGGCTGGAACCACAGCAATGGCCCCTGTGATGTGCAATGCTGCCTTGTGTTCCTTCCTCAGCCTCCATCTCTGTCCTCCAAGATAACTTACAGAGGTGCAGTTGGTATCCTCCAACCCCTCTAAATGACAGGCCACTTGGCCTGCACCCTGGATGCTGTCACTGTTCAGGGCTGGGCCAGCACCAGGAGCTCCTCCTGTGTGTGACACAAGCTTCTCAATTCCCAGGTTCCAGATCCCAGCTTCTCTCCTCCCTCTGGGCCACTCCTCCTCTTCATAGAGTATCCTGAGCCTCCTGATCTCCTGCCTCAGGGACATGGCCCCTGCTGAGTCCCTTCTACACCCTCTGTCACCAGCTCCCCTCTGCCTCCCACGACATGTAGAAGGTGGCAGCAACTCTGCCTGCAGCATGGATCTGCTTGTGGCTCCCACTTGTTTCTTCACCCACCAGTGGCCAGATCCTCTGTGCCTGTTCTTACTGTCCCTGCTGACTTCCTTTACCAGACTGCTTTGTCACCATCACCACAGGGCTGCCCACACTGGACCACAGACCAATGTCCAGTCCTCCCAGGCACCAGCAAGAAGCACATAGCCCTCACTGGCCCGGGGCTGGCCCCTGAGCTTGGTGACCCTGAGCCCTGTTGAAGCTGGGCCACTGCTGTCTCCATCACAGTTGGACTGTCAGACCTCAGCCAGAGCAGCTGCACAGTGGACACAGCAGCAGAACGAGATATCATGAGGTAATCCTGAAGCCCACTCCTTCCTCTCCACTCAATGTGGACCTAGACATGCAGCCTGGCTCTGAGGATGACGCTTACCAGGCTGGACTGGAATGTCACTGTGCAGCAGAAACATCAAATTTGTGTATCTTTTGACCCAGAAATTACATTGTTATAAATATAGATTCCAGGGAGACAGAGAGGGCAGGAAGAGGTCCACTCAAGGTACCATCCTAGTTCATTCCTGCTGCTACAGCCAAGTATTCGAGATGATGTGAATTGTAAGCAGCATACAGGTATTGCTCATAGTTTGGTGGACTGTAAATCCAAGGAAAGCTGCCAGCAGGCTCTGAGTCTAAAGAGTGCTTGTCACTGCTTCCAGATGGGGCCTTGAATTCCATGTCCTCTGGAGGGACAAACGCTGATCCTCATGGAGAGGAAGAGGTGGGAGGGCAGAGAGGCCCACGCTGGCTCCAATGAATGCCCCTCCATGACACTCACCTGTCTGAGAGGGTGAGGTCCGCCTGGCCACAGCACCTCCTCAGGCCCTACTGTAAATGGGGGCTAAGTTCCAACATGCAACTTTTGGGGGAAAACATACTCCCAAACCTTAGCGATCATCAAAACATTGGTCAATATAACAGTACAAAAATACCTGACACTTTCAATTATTGCAGACTAATTACATTCTTATTCATAAAAATGCTTAAAGTAGAATATATAAAATATTATGTACAGAATGAAATACCATTTGATCACTAATAGGACCAAATATATTAATGTAGGAAAATATTTGGCTTATCATTGGAAACGGAGAGGACAAACATGGGTGGGTCCTGCTTTTGCTGAAAAGAGTTAATAATAGCAAGTAGACAAGAGTTTGCACAGTCCAACTTCCTAGCATCACAGTAATGGGCTTTCTGGGAGACAGCTAATTATGGGTTGTTTTTTCCTGTATTGAACACGTTTTTATGTTGTTTTAATTTTTTCCTGTAAAGTACTGTCAAGCCAATTGTGGGCAGCAGGACCTGCAGGGCTTCACTTTCCCTTTCTGCACTTTGGTGGGGGTTGGAAAGTGAGAGCGGCTGCCAGGGACCACTGTGACCAGCTCCTTCGGCCCAGTACAGCCACCTTCCTGCACAGCCACAGCTCCTCTCTGCACTCAGCCTTCATGCATTTGCGTGTATGGATCATCTTCGTGTAGGATGCTGAGAGAAAGGTACTGTGTGAGCACAAGGTAGAGCGAAAGGGCCACTGTCCTGCCCTGTTTGCAGGTGGACCAGCATATGTGCTGTCCCTCCTCACAGCTACCATTGCTTGAGGCTTGGAGCCTGGCTCAGACCACAGCCTGCATTGGGACTGCTCTTGAGGATGCAGTGCACCCATCGGATTCAGAGCTTATGCATAAGCTTGCTTCTCGGGAAGATTAGATCGAATTAGAAATGGGGAAGAAGAGAAGTTCTGGGCTATGTCGTTCTGGGTGCCTCGTCTTCAGCTCCATGTGGACCTGTGAGCACCTCCCCAACCAAGCCCAGGCCTGCCCTGCAGTAAAGGGAAGGGACCAGTCTCCTGCCATAGCCGTCCAGGGCCGACAGTCCACAACAGCAGTGACAGCTGAGATGAAGAGCTGCATGTGGATTAATGCCGGCCAACCCCCCCAACCCAGGCTTAACAGTGTGGCGCATGTCTTGCAGGCACACCGGCTTGCTCAGCTGCCCTGTGGGGGAAGGAGCCATTGAAATGACAGCCCATAAGCACTGGGTGCCCCTCCAAGGGCATAAGGGGAGCTGGGCGAAAAGTAGGTCACATGTGCCTGGGCCATGTCACGCGGTTTCCCACCCCAGGCCAATGGGATGGGTGGCCTCCTTCCGTGGAGAACAAAACACCCCTCTAATTTTTCTCCTTTAGTGTTTCATCTTCTCTAAACAGGGAGCGTGGCCATCTGTCTGGTACCCACATCCAGCCGATCCTCCCAGCCTCACAGGCTGCTTTGTTCTGAGGTAAGGGGGCTCTGGGGTCCTGGTGAGGGGTCCGTAGAGCAGGACAGGTGGCTGAGGCAGACTACGAGGAAGACAGATCAAGCCCAAGCTTGGAGCCTCAGGCAGCATGGCAGGACAGGTAGGATTCTCATGTGTGTGGGCTTCAGGGAGGCTGAGACGGACTGCGGGAGCAGCACGTACGGCTCTTGGTGATGGGGAGCAGGATCGGTGTGAGTGCGAGCAGTTCCTATGCTTATGAGTATGGTGCTTTTGTTGGGTCCTCTGCTTTAATAATGTGGTTCTTCTAAAGGACTGGTATCATCTTAGTCTCTTTACTGTTAAAGTGATATTATTTACAGAAAAACAGACAACTTTAGGGATGTTTGTCAGATGCAAGACAAGGTCAGGGGTGTAATCCCACATATGGATGTGGGTCACCCTCAGAAACGGGGCCCAGAGTGGTCTAGTTCAACAAGCGCCTGGTACTGCCTTTCTGGAGATGGTGACCTCAGGAGCGAGCAGGAAGAGCACTGTGAAGCCCAGGTGTCAGCACAGGGTGGACACAGATCACTAGCACGCAAAGGACTCGCACTGGAAATGAGGTGTTAGTGTCGGGATGTGGCTGAGTCGTTTATCCTGGAGAACCATTGAGTGTGATTCCTGTCTGATAAAACATGTGGAATGGGTAAATGTTTTCAAATGTTTGTAAAACTTAAGTGAGTTTTGCAGCTTATAAATAGCAAAACTACTTTTTTTGCCCGTCTTACAAATTAATTTCAGTGTTGTACTAGACTCTTCAGCAGTGGTGAGTACAATGGAACCTGTCTGTGGCGTCTGTTGGAGCTACACTCGGACAGATTCCATGCTCCTGTTTGTGTTGCTCAAAGATGTTCCCGAAATTGTTTGCCAGGGACATAGTGGGATTTTGTCTGAGTATGTTCCATCAGGGGACAGTTTTTTGCCTTTCAGAGATAAAATATTTTAAGCTTGTTTTAACTGATTGTCCAGGACATGGGTGAATGACCAGGAGCACAGAAATGAATGCAAACATTTCTTTTTTAAAATTTGTTTGTTTGTTTGTTTGTTTTGAGACAGGGTCTCGCTATGCAGTTCAGCTGGTTTTGAGCTCACTTTGTAACCCAGGTTGGTTTTGAACGCACAGTGATCCTCCTGCCTCAGCCTCTCGAGTGCTGGGATTACAGGCGTGCACCACCATGCCCCGTTTCTAACATTTCTGATGATAAACAACTCTGTATTTTAGTGGTGCAGGGTAGCAGTTGTCCAGTGGTAACAGGAGAGGCTTTCCTCTTCCAAGAGCATGGCTGTGGAGATGTCCTGCATGGGCAGTAGCACAGATGACCAGTGTGCAGTATCCTAAGGGACCGTGTCCTCACCACTCTCCCATCTTTGGAGGAGGGAACTGTTCTCATAGTCCATTAAAACAGGGTAGAAAATTTCTGTGTTCTCCATATTTTTGGTTATAATGCCTCTTTTGCCTGTTATTTCTGTCACCTATCCCTCTTAGCGTGTGTCCCAATAACTGGACTTAACCTAAGCTCACAGACAAGGCACACAGTAGTGAGACAGAGGCACACTGCCATGATGACCATGCGTGTTGATCTTAATTGCCCTTAGAGGGAAAATTCGTGCTGCTGCCTTTAGAAATAAAGCGTGCCCTGGGAGGCAAGGCTGGGTCCTCCTTTTCCCTTTCTTGATAATGAAAGATGTGCCATACACACCACTTGCAGAGGCAGTGGGGCCATGTTTCTTGGTGCTGGGCAGAAGAGTAGGTCCTTGCACAGCTAGGTGCCCCCTTGGTGCTCTGCCTCATTCCTCAAGCTTCTCACGATCAGGATGTCCCCTCACCCCACCGCAACATAGCCTTTCTTGTGTACATCACCCTCACTATGCTCAACCTTTTTCATCTGGAAATAGGAGGGCCCAGGTGGAGTTGGGCCCAGTGGTGTCTTGAGCAAGGCCACGCTAATTTTGTACCCATGCTTCCTGTGTGGAGGGTGTCTTGTTCCAGGAACTGCTGGGTCCTGATTAGAGAAGCCAGGAGCCTCAATGAAGCATCCTGTTGCCACTTGTGATGGCCTGGGGAGATTTGGGGTCAGGGCACCCCACAGCTGGAGCCTGAGGACCAGCAGGTCTGGCTCTGGGACTTGGTGATAGGCAGAATGATTGGGCTCAGCCATGCCCAGTGGGCACTCCAGGTTGGCTTGAGAGCTGCAGGTTTCTGTTCTCTGCGTCTGAGCCACATGGTCTTGATGAAGGTACATAAGTCTCTGGTTGCCCATAAGTAGTCACTGGACTCCACCACTTCCTGAGGACTCTGGAGTGTGGGGCTGGGCTGCAGTGTGGTCTTGGACAGGCTGTGAGTCTGAGGACCACCAACATGGCTGTAGAAGAGTGAAAGCTTGAATGCTCACATGGGGCCCTGGAGCAGCTGGAGTTGTGGCTGAGTGACAGGGTCAGGACAGAACTGTGTACCCCACAACCAGGTCACATACAATCAGACTGGCCTGAGCCATGTGGTCATATGTTGCCTGTGGCCAGGGTCTTCCTATAGCAGAGGACACCGGCTGCCTCCCTGGGCCTCTGCTAGATCAGATTCTTGAGGGAGATCAGGGAAGAGGGATCCAGAAGGAAGTAAGCCCAGGGCCAAGACCAGCTCCCAGGAGGAAAGGTGTAGCACAGGCTGTGACTTCCGCTGATATGGAGCTATCAGAGGGGTCTTTCAGGACTGCTCTGTGGGGAGGGATCAGCAGAGGGAGAGGACAACGAGTGGTCTCAGGAAGGAGAGGGCCTGGGACAAGCCCTGGAGAGGTCCAACTGGGACTGCAAGGGCCAGCCCCAGGTACAGATCTGTTCCCTGAGGTCACAGTGATACAGATGAGTGGGACCTCAGAGCAAATCTAAAGGTACCTGCCATGCCCCTCCCCTACCTGTAACCCTCACCCCATCCCTCCCCCTCTGCTCTGCTCATCCCCTGCATGTGCACCCCCACACTAAGCTGTGGGGGGCTACAATCATTAAAAACAATCAAGAGACTGTGAGAGTGGAAGAAAAGAAACCTATATAAAACATACTATCAGGGAGAGTGAATAAAACAGGCAGGAATGGGGATACAAGAGAGATGGAGCTGCGCTGCGCTGCGCTGCTTTGCTTTGCTTTGCTTTGCTTTGCTTTGCTTTGCTTTGCTTTGCTTTGCTTTGCTTTGATCAAAATAGCATTTAAGTCACTAAGAGTGAGTAAAGCATTCAATCACAATGTTGGGTCAGATAGATATCAGAAATGCTGAGTTCTGAACTACAGATGTACTTGAGGTAGAGTCACAAGCTAAAGGTATAGAAGTACTGTGTCTCTTTTTTAGAGTAGTCTCTTTTGAGGAGGGCACACCTCAAACCCAGAAGGCACGAGAGCAGGCTCCAGCTTTCACCCCAGGGGTTATACCTTCCACAAAGTAGCTACCACATGGTGACAAGCCATAGAACCAACATGGAACCAGTGGCCACATACATGGGCAGTTCTAGGAAACACAGGATGTGAATGGACTGCAGACATCCATGGGGCAGGAGCAGCATATGAAGCCTGTGCCACTTGGGCTTAGGGAGGTGTGGAGCAGGCAGCTGTATGGAAAACCTTTTGCCACATCTGCCAGCATTTTAGATGTGAATACCCTTGATCACACAGTTTTCCATAAAAAATCCTTCTTACCAAGCCCCCATGTATGCACAGAGATCTGGGTGTTTGCAACCTTGTGGTTTGTAAGAAAAAGAAAAGGGACACCTGCAATGCCCACCTCAAGACACAGTGAGACTTCAGGGAAGCAGCAAGTCCCACTGTGATCTCCCGGGTACATACTCTTCAAGACACAGGGGCTGCATTCCTTAGCCCCACACAGGGTGCAGACAGCCCCATCAGTAGGACAAAGGGCCAGTGGCTGTGATTACCTTCGCACCATGGAGCCCCATTCCACAATGAGAGGCAGGGTGTCAAGTAGACTGGGTGAGTGTCTCAGAGACATCTGTTTGTGTCAGAGGCTAGCACAGTGTGCAGATTTGGGGGAGCAAAAGAGGTAGAGACAACATTGCAGACAGTGGCTGGGGACCACACTGGGCCCACCATGCTGGGCAAGGGCTGGAGCTGCTCCTTGGCACTTGGCTGAGGCACCTTGCTCTGGGTGTGGAATGTTCTGGGTCATGTGTTAGAGGGCATGTGGTGTGAGTGGCTGTGTGACAGTCTGTGTGTTTCAGATCATGCCATCTGCCACCTTAGCTAAAGCCTGCACTGTCACATCAGGACATATACACAGTGTGGGGCTCACACAGGCAGGGCTTGGAAGGGGACCAGCTACCCCTCTGGCATGTGGACTATGGGCCCAGGATGGCTCAGCCCATCCTCTGTCCACATTTCAGAGCCCTAAGTCCTATCTCCCCAGCCAGACTCTGGGAGCTTGAATCCCAGCCAGAGCAATGCTGCTGGATTCCATGTTGCTTTCTTGCTTTGTTCTTTCTTTTGCTCTTAGAGAGGTTCTTACTGCTGTGAGCATCAGACCTAGTAAAGTGTCTGGCCTGGGTAACCCAAAAAGGTGTGTTTGGCTTCTGAGGTTGATGCTGAGTCCAGAGTGCATCAGGAGAAAACAGCAGAACTAGATCATACCCAGCTGCACATGGGTCTGCCCCCGCTGCCTCTGCTGGACATTTCTGCTATCCCAGCCCCTAGTCACGACCCTAGTCCAGGGTACCTGGAAGAAACCAAGGGTGAGAATCACAGCTGAGCCAGGGAGGGGGCACAACTTCCTGCCTCAGCAGTACTGATGGCAGTGAGCCTCAGGGTCCCCTTCAGATCCTGCCCTGCAGCATCCTGATTTGACAAAGCTCACAAAACTGTTTATTCCCAGCAGAATTCAGTAGGACCCACCTTGAAATTTGAACAACCAATCCAGGGCTTTATAAATGATTTTGTCTGGCAGAATTATAAATGTGTTCATAAATCTGCATTTGCAGTTTGGTATGCAAAGATGCTGAGCTTGTTCTTCACACACATACCCGTGTCTTTCTTCATCACATACACTGAAATAGAAATGAACCAAACCCGTTAAAACTAAATTAAATGAGGCCAGGAGCTATGCGGTTTTGGGGATTTAAGACCATCAGCAGATTGAAGTCGCAGCACCTCACTGGGATGTTGCTGTTCTGGGGATTAAATCTAATCCTAGGGGGCAGAGGGTGTCTGCAGCTGCCACACAGGAAGGCCATAGGCTCCTGCCCTCCCCCAGCCTCCTCAGCTGAAGCTACTCCACCTGGACACCACCTTGGGGTCGCTTGGCCTATGCAAAGCCTTTGGCACAGTGCGCTGCATGAGGGGGATGCCACCCTCAGCCCCCACACCACTCCCTACTGCACCTCCTCTATCATACTGTGGACATGTACATGGGCAGAGACACAGGACTCAGCTCCTACAGGCACATGCATGTGCTGGCACTGAGTGACCGAGAGGCCTGGGTGTGGGGTCTTGCACAGGTAGGGTAATGGGCCTTGGCAACCCTCCACATGTGGCCCCAGCTCTTATCACTGCTCCACTGCTCAGATGGGCTGATCTGCATGGACTTGTACCACGCAGCTTCAGCAAAGATGCTTCCAAAGCCACCAGGTAGGCTTAGTTCTTTAATCTGACTCTTTGTGATTTATAATCACACTCTAAACTTCGTTTTTCTTTTTAGTTTCTTATCTATCTTGCTTCACTTTTTTTGACCTTTTTTCCCCCAGTGCTGGTAGCTAAATCCAGCCTTCAAACTGAGCTACATCCCCAACCCAGTTTTATTTTTTCTTATTTTGAGACAGGGTCTCACTAAATTGCCCAGAGTGAGCTTGGACTTGGAACCACCTGCCTCAGCCTTCCAGAGTGCTGGGATTACAAGCATACTATTGTTAAGATATTAAGATACTGAGAGAAATGACCTGTCAATCTAATTCTAGTTTATTTTTCTCTGAAGGTTAAGCATGGTCTATGCTTTGCCCATGTTGATGAATGAATCCTGTCACATAATCCAAGCATCCCAGATCTGCGAGCCCTGCCCACACCCTCTCAGAGGGTCTGGGAAGTGGGTTTCCCTTACCCCACCATGACCTCCATGGAGATCTGTGCAACCTCAGCACGTGGTGTGTGTGCAGTCTGGGAGTGGCCACTCCTGGCTGAAAGTTCTGGTCTGTAGTGCTGGGACCCTGTGCACAGCATGGCGACAGGGAGCACTAGGCCAGCCACAAGGTATGTCTGCACCTGCTGCCACTGCCAGCCACCACCAGGGGACAATGGAGAGCCCATGTACAGCTTCTACCCTCTACCCTGCCTTTCGGATGGTGAGGTCCTCTCACCAGTGAGGGCTGCAGGGAAGGCCAGGTGTCCTGTGCCTCATAGACCTGCACACCAGCCCCTGCATGGGAAGATCCTCCCTGCCAGACCCTGAGCAGGTCGGTTGTGCCTCACTCCTGCAGGACAGCAGTCCCCAGTTGTGTGGGCAGCAGCACCTCCCAGGCTGGGCTTCCTTCCTGGTGCCCTGGATCCAGCAGAGAAAATGGCCCTCCTGTCCCACATTTCTCTGCTACGGATTCCCAAAGGAACAGCTCCTCTTGCGGGGACAGCTGCTGGGAACAGAGCCCTCAGATCTCCCCAGAAGGGCTGGGACCTCTGTGCCTAGATGCCACCCTCACCAGTGAGCCTTTTCCCCCTCAGGCTATGCAGCCCTGCTTCTTGCACGCTAACTTAGATGAGCCATGAGGGCATCAGCAGGGGCCATTCCTCCTCAGTGGCAGGCTCCATGCCCAGTGTGCACCCTGCTCATCACCCTTGTCTTCTCAACTGGTTGGGTTTTATTTTTTCTTTAAAAGCACACATTCTGCTGTGTCTCCACTTTCCTGTCCACAGAGCAGCTCCTTCCCCTCCTTCGTTGTTATCAGAAAGGCTTTCTTGAGTCCTAGATCGCTCCAGGCCTAAGTTACCATCGGTGTCCCTTTATCTTAATAAAAGCTGGCATATGGAGTGCTATGCCCTGTACCACCACCCCAGTAGAAATGGTGACAAGGACAGGCTGAAAATCTAGCACACAGCTTTGCTTTTGTGTTTGCTAACTCACCCTCACCTAAATGAGATGCTTCCTAATGCTGAATGTTGAATTAAGACCATACAGTGGGCAACCATCCTGGTGTTCTCCCCACCAGGTACCTATAGCACTCCCCAACTGCTTTGTAGTTTCCTTCCCCACCAGCTGCTATAAGAACCATGCCATACATGGTGTGCACTTCATCAGTGTTAGGTATGGTTCAACATCGGTTCTATGGTGGGGGTCCCAGGTTGGTGGGGCAGATTCCTGATACAATTCTCCATCCACCCCAAGTATACAGTCTACTAAAGTATTGTACATTATCAGTCTTCATATGCATTACTGATTTTTCCTCATAAACTTCTGAGATAGAACACTGGGTAGGATTGCCATCTCACTAAAATCTGCAATTGCTGGGTTTTAATAGACACATGTGGTCCACCTCAGATGGCTTCCCTAACAAACATGCCAACCAAAATGCAAGCCAGGTGCCCTGCTCTCCCCAATGCTTCCTGCTAAAATTCTGTGTTTGTGCATTAGTCATTGTTCTAAGCATGTGATGGTATTCTCTGTGACTTTAATTTGCTTTTCCCTCTTCACTAATGAGATTAACTGTCTTGATACCCAGTCATCCCTCCATATCTGCCATGTTATCTGTTCCAAACCCCAAATGGATACCCAAATCTGAGGATGCTCATGTCCCTCATTTAAAATGATATAGCATTCACATAGACTCTACACACATCCTCCTGTACACTTTAAATCATCTCTGGATGACTTATGACACTTAATGTGGATTTTTGTGGAAGTAAAATGCAGATTCTGTGGAAGTCGTTGTCATACTGTATTGTCTAGGGAATAAGGACAAGGAAAAAACTGTACACATTTAGTACAGTTGTAATTCTTCTATCCAAATATTTTTTGTTCATGCTGATTGAATCTGAAATACAAGAATGCAGAGGGTAATTCTCTTTATTAGCCACATGGATGCCTAAGGGATCTGCCTGCTCAAGGTGCTGCCCCTTTCCAAGAGCAGTGTGGGAAGATTCCCAAGATATGAGCCCTTGCCAGTTAAATGAGTTGCAAGTACTCCCGCCCTGTAGGCTGCTTTTCTCTCTTTTGACGATGTCTGTTGACACACAGGAGTCTTTGTTCTGACATGGCTCATCATCTACATCTTTCCTTGACAGTGAGTGCTGTTTTATGTGTGAGGAGTCTGTGTAGAGGTACAGCTGTGTCAATGGGAACCTGTGCTATTTTCCAGAGGCTGTCATCTCCCTGGATCTTTGGGCTAGGGCAGGGAAGGGGGGCTTTAAAGCTTTATTTTTCCACTTGCCCAATCATGACCAAGGACTGTTTACCGAGAAGCCTGTCCTCTTCCCGTGCCTACAAGCACTGGTTCCTGACTGTTGAGCTCCCTTGTTCTTCTTGTTTATCCCTCACCACTGCCCACAGCTAACTTACTGTGGCTTCACATGTGCAGATAACTGGCAAAAGAAGTCTTGCTTTGTTCTTCTCCACAGGCTATTCTTGGCCTGATTAATACTTCACACACATAAATAAACATGTCCATGGGCTTGGATGTGTGAGCCCATTTGGAGGAATTAATATCGTAAGATTTTCAGTATTCAAATCTAGGAGCAATAATGCATATCTTGTGACTCTCAGGTACTCTTTAATTTTGGTCAGTAAATTTTCCTAGTTTTCTACATGGAGGTTTTACTTACCTTTTGTATGTATGTATGTTCCAACCCTGAATTTTTTTGATGTTATTGTAAATATATCTTCCTTTAAATTTTATTTTGTAACACTTGCTGGTCTGGAATATGCACAGCCAGGTGTGCTGTTGACATCATACCTATGAGCACTGATGCAGATTACTTCAGTTTTCCTGTGTTGGCCCTGTCCGCTGAACTGTTGCTCCTCCTTGCTGGCTTCTCACCAGATCTGCATCCACTGTGAACTCTAGAGAGGCTCCACAGGGACCCAGAACTTTGGGGAGCATGGACTCCCAATGGAACATGCAGCTCTCAAAGCAAGAGAGGAAGGAAAGCTGTGGATGCACTTGGGAACACTTGGCCTACCCAGGCCGAGCTGGGAGCTCTGTCGCTTACAAAAGAGCTGGCACAGCATGTCACCAGTCTCAGCCCTGACCAGGGGAAGCTGGTCAGTCTCCTACCTGAGCCATGAATCCCCTGACTAGTTTGGGGCCATGTTAGGAGCTCCTCCTGGGAGCCACATTTAGCATCAGCTGTGCAAGGGCCAGGAGGACTTGGAGTCTCTGAGTGCTGGCCCCTATACTGCATGCCCTGGCTTAGTGCCGTGTCTCTATGGCCATCAGCTACATATAGACAGTCTTCATGTGTCACAGCATCACAGTGTCCTGCTATAGAAGAACTGTAGGCTCAGCAAACACCGGGCTGTCCATGCTGTTGCACAGCAGGTGGGCCTCACATGCTTTTGCCCTCACTCCATGACTGCTCTTGGCCCAGCTCACTCATGCCTGCTCACCCACCCACAGTGGTCTTGACATCTGGCCATGAGGGCCAGGCTGGTCCCTCCTCTCCAGGGCCAGGTGGGAGCAGTGGGTGTCCCCATGTCCTCCCAGGGTGAGAGGGCTGGCTCATCTTAGCCTCTTCTTCGCTCACAGGGACCTTTCAGCCATAGGAGTTTTCCTTTACCTCTTTCCAGGAGGTGAACTTTTTTACGTTTCACTTCTGGGTCTTTGGCCTACATGGACTTCTGGGAGCAGGTGGGGATCTAATGTTGATTTCCAAGCATGGATGCTGTCAGTAGTCCCAGCCTGCAGTCCAATTCCCCACCAGACTGTGAGCCACTTGGGCTGGGGCTGTGGCCACCACCCTGCATGCCCAGTGCCTGTAAGGATAGCAGAAAGATGAATGATGTTAGCACAAATCCTGTTGCAGCCTCCCCTTGTGCTCAGGGGCTTGTGGGAGCTTAAGCACATTTGGAGAAGCTGTTTTGTAGGGTGCAGGGCACAGACAGAAGGCAGGACCCTTGTGGCTGCCTTGGGTGGAGGTGGCATCGGAGCCTGACTCCACACAGCTCTCAGGGAAGCCTGTCCTGGCTCTGCATGGCAGAGGTGATGAATTTTGAGATAGGTGTTTTAAAATTCAGTGTATTTGTAAGAGGGACACACCGATTTACATGCTGGATCCTGGGCACTTTCCCCCACAGGTTGAACTGAGAGAAGTTGGCATCACTGGGGGAAGCCTGGCATTGCAAGGAAGAGAACAGCTCCACTGATTCCAGATGAAGCCCTATGCTTGGCCTGCAGAGCAGGGGAAGGGGCAAGGTCGCTGGTCTCTGCTTCCATCACTGTCTTGAAACTTGAGTGACAAGGGAGCAGCATGTTCAGAATTCTCACTGAAGCCAGGCTTGTGTAAGCCTGGGATGTCTTTTAATGCTAACCGTGACTGGCAGGAGCATTAAATTGCAAAAATGTCCCCTCCCCAATGGCCTCGAGGACACAGTGTGCACTGTGAGTCTCTCAAGGAGAATGAAGCAGCTAATCAGCTCTGTCGGCTTCTGCTGCCGTGGCTTCATACAGCATGATGCAACCACTGAGCTGTTAAACACGATAAATCAAATCTATGCTCGCCCCCTCCTCCCCCCACGTGCCCCTTCCAAACAGCTGAGACCCAGGAACAGCTCTGCATGGAGCTCAGTTAATGGAGGCACGCCAGAGCTGCTGGCCTGGACAGGCACTCCCCGAAGCAGCACAGTTGCTGACACTACTGCAGGCAGCACGCTGCACCCAGTGCCCTGATCCAGGTGAGAGAGCATGAAGGGGGACACAGGGAGTGCCAGCTGGTTGTACCTGAGCAGGAGATACTGCTGCCACCACATGCAGAGACCCCTGTGTGTCACTTGTGCTTTCACACCCGAGTCTGCTCAGCCTTCCATTGTGACACTGCAGGACACTTCAACAAGAGTACATGGAGCCACTTGTCCCAAGCTTTTGCTTTTGACCAGCATGAACACTGCAGTTTGTTTCTGGTGGTCAGG